TACCTCCCAGAGGTCAAGAGGAGGCTGTGGGTCTCACCAGTGACAGCGGGGGGCACTGTGCGGCGCAGTGCTGTGACAGTTGCCATGGCAATCTCCTCATGAGAATATTTATGGGTGCAGGCGTGCCCTGGGGTTACCATGTTGGGTTTCAGCAAAGTGCCTTCCAGGTAGATGTGGTGGTCACTCAGGGCTTTGTAGACAGCAGCCAGCACCTGGAGCAGAGCAGGGCCAAAGTGGGTTGGGGTTGAGAGGAGGGGACAGGGGGCGAGTCCTAAGGTCCTTGGCCCAGCTGCCTGGCCACCACCCAGCCTAGGCAGGCAACTCACCTTCTCGGTTACATACTGACAGCGCTTCAAGTCGTGGTCCCCATCAGGGAGGATCTCGGGCTCCACGATGGGCACGATGCCATTCTGTGGGGTGAAAGACAGGGTGGCTGTGAGGCCTCCTAACCTGAAGCCCACTCACAGCTCTCCACAGCCAGCAGCCAAGATCTTATCTCCACAATGACAGAAACTCATGGCCTCAGAGCCCTCAGCAGACTGTAGGAGACCAGCAACACCCCCGAGACACCCACACCATCCCTATTCTGCCCCTCTTCTTCACTGAGCCCTTGAGAGTCCTGCACAGGCCCAAGCCTGATGCTTGGGGATCCAGAACAACTGCCCTGGGGGAGGTATCCTCGCAGATGGGCGGGCGGTGGGGTAGCTGACACTCTGGAACCCAATGAGGTGGGAGGTGGCGTGTTGGGGAGCCGCAGGCCCACCTGCTGGCAGATGCTGGCATAACGGGCCAGAACGTTGGCGTTTTCCATGATAGCAAGGGCTGAGGGGGTGTGTTCCCCGATCTTCAGCACACAGCGCCACTTGGCAAAGTCAGCTCCGTCCTTCTTGTACTGGGCACAGCGCTCAGACAGCCCATCCAGCCCTGGAGAGGAAACAGAACCTCAGAGCATGACGAGCAGAGGAGGGGGCAGGTGGTTCCCAGGCACCCTGGGCACCCAGAGGGTTGGCGGCCCCGGTGGGTCAGTCTGTAGGGCAGGGAGCAGAATGGTTCTCACCTTGGGTGGTAGTCTCGCCGTTTGTTCCTGCCAGGGGTACCACGCCCTTGTCCACCTGTTGGGGGTGGGGGTGGGGTCAATAACATAAGATAGGAGGAATGACCTCTAGTGCTCCACTCTGCCCCTAACTGTACTTAAATCTTAAGTGATAACTCACAGTTGCAAATCGGATCAATTAGTTATGCTATCGGAGCCTAGGAAGGAAAATACATGGGGAGGTTACTGGACAGAGCCTAGACTGCTACCACTTACTAACTCTGCGAGCCAGATACTTCATAGCCTTGAACTTCTGGGTCTTCATCTGTACAACAAGGGGGAAATAATTTGTTCTTAAGAGTTATAAGGATTAAAAATGCCAAGCAGGGGTCCCTGGCTGGCTCAGTCAATGCAGCATGCAACTCTCCATCTTGGGGTTGTGAGCTTGAGCCCCACACTGGGTGTAGAGATTACTTAGGGCAGAGTCCACTCATGTCCTCAGGCCCCCAACCCAATGTCCATCCCCCGGCCCACTACTCTGGATTTCTTTCCCCAAGATCCATCTCAAACCTCATATCCTGACACCCCACCCCCTCACCTTGATGCCCACAACGCCGCCCTTGGATTTGATAACTTGGGGGAAGGGACGCCCATCGTCTGTCTTCTGGTACAGCGTCTCGTGGAAGAGGATGACACCCCCAATGCAGGGATTCACACGGTCATCAGCGGTCAGCAGCAGCTGGCGGTAGAAGCGCCGGTTCTCCTCTGTGTTCTCGGTGCCGATAGACTGCAGCCGCTTGGCAATGCTCCCTAGAAGGGGCCAGCGTATAACGATAAGAGGATCAGCCGGTCCCCCTCAACCCTGGGCCCTCCTCCCGCTGTCTCCTGCCCGTACCAGTGGACTCATCTGCAGCCAGGATGCCCTTGCCCGGAGCCACAATTCGGTGAGCGATGTCAGAGAGCTCCTTCTTCTGCTCTGGGGTCAGCGCTGGGTATTGGTAGGGCATGGTGCCGGTCAGTTCCTGGACAAAGGAGGCAGATGGGGGAGGAATGGTTAGCGGGGTCTTCCCATGATCTCCCCACAAGCTGGGCCCCTTGACTGGAGGTCAGGACAAAAGTTCCCTACCTCCCCTGGTCCATACTGGGCAAGTCTTGGGGCACGTCCTATCCCCAAGCCTCCCCTACACCCAACTTCCCTATACTAGACCTGCCTCCTGTACCTTTCCTAACTCTGTCTCTTGCTGGGTGTTTCCCACCTTAGGGTGGGGTTGCGTACTGGCACCTGAGGTAATGCAATAGGCCAGAGCCATGGAAAGACGGGTCATGTAGAAGTCGGACCCTTCTGGCTTGCGCTCTGCCATGGGGTCACCTTGCCTAGAAGCAGAACCGAACCAGAGTATTTTAGAATTTAGAGGTCGTGTGTAAGGCAGAGGGGCCCAACCAGAGGACCCAGAGAAAGGAGAAAGTTCTGGGCTTCAAGTCCCACAGCAATCAAGGGCCAGAGTGGAGATTAGAATCCAGATCTTCTGACTGCTGTAGGGGATCCACCCAAGACTCCAGGGCTGGCCCAGGCTCCAAAGCCTCAAGGACATCCCAAGGTCAAGCTTCGCCTCCCAGGTTTGAGGGAGGGGTGTTAGGAAAAGAGTGTTAGAAAAAAGGGCAGGAGGGTAACAGGAAGCTGGGGAAAGGGAAGTAGAAGAAGCCCAGCCCGAGGTGGAGGAAAGGGGTAAGGGCTGCCGATCTCACTGTTCATAGAGGGTAAGAGAACTGTAGAGAGGCAAGCGCCCCACCCCTTCCCCCGAAAATGCTTCTGTCTGCTCTCGCGGCTGCAGCTGCTCCAGGCTCACAATCAAGGTCACCCGATAAGGAAAGACACGGAAAGTATTAACTGGGCATCAGGCGCCTCCAAGGGGTTTCCCCTCCTCGCCAAGGAGGGCCCATCTCCCACGGCAGGAACCAACCACGCTTTCGGAAACCCTGAGACAGGATTCGAGCTGGCCCCCACCCCTCGCTGCCTCTTAGGATCCCCGCAGAGGCCAAGGGGCCATAATCCTTTGCACCTGGGATCCCAACAAGAAAAGGAGAAAAGGAATGGCCCTTCATCTTGTCCTGCTTCCTCCTCCGCCATGACTCAGCGCGCGTAGTCGCTGCATTGCGCAGCACACCAAGGGAACTCAAGCTGGAGAGGGTTGAGGAGTCTGGGCTGGGAGCACGTATGTGGGAGGTAGTGGGGCGGGGGAGATGCTGGGACCGGGGGGGATGGGGGTAGGCTCCGACCCGGCACCCGACCGGCCACTGCCCCCAGGATCCTTCTCCAGGGTCCCTGACCTTCGCACACGGCGAGGGGCGCTCACCTGGCACGGGAGGGGGCGGGTTTGCGGGGTGCAGCGGTGGAGGACAGCGGGCCGGCGAGCTGACCGAGGGAGCGAACGCGGCAGTCGTCACCAACACCGTTCTGCGGCGCGTTCCGAGCGGAACACAGCCTATTCAGGTCCGGAGGGGGCGGCGCAGGGGGCGGGCGGGCGGGAGGGAGGTAGCGCCGGGCTTATAAAGGCACCGCGCCAGCCACCGCCGGGGTTTTTCCCTTGAAAGGGGGCCGGGAGCGCCCGGGCGTCCAATTGCAGGAGAGGAACGCTGGAGAGGCCGCCCCCGAAAGGCGAAGCCCGGAGGCGGTGCTTGGGCGGGGACAGCGCGACTAGAACACGATCCCTCCCCTCCCCCGGCCCCCTAGGACGTGACTCAGGCCACATCCTGCGGGTCGCCTGGGCTCTCCCCCCCCCCCCCCCCCCCCCCCCCCTTCTCTCCCCAGTTGGCGCGTTCTGGGGCGCTGTGACTCAGCCGATTAGGGCATTGGAGGAGATGGGGAGGGAGGTGGGGGGAAGAGGGTGCAAGAGCCTGAAAAGACGGAGGCTCCCCCTCCCGGATCAGGCCCAGCCGTGCGGGCCCGGGGCAGCCCCACCTTCCGGCCTGCGCTGATGCAGCGTGTGTCACACTGTGACAGAACCCGGAGGTTGGGCGTCTGCCGGCCTCGCCTGCAGGCTCGGCTTGCGGGCCCCGGCGCGCGGGGCCGCCCCTCCCTCGGTCACCAGCCCCGGCGGAAGAGCGGCGGGGGAAAGGGCGGCGAGCGGCTGCACCGGGCGGCGCACGACAGGGCGGCGGGGCTGGCGGGGGAGGGGGCGGAGGCTGGGCGGCAGCGGCTCCGGGTGGCCCGCCCGCGCGGGTGTGGGCGCCCCAGCCGCCCGGGTCGGGCTCGCGGCCCCGGAGGTACCAGCCTCGCCGCGTGTGCGCACGCCCTCTCGGCCCGGGCCGGCGCGGGCAGGGCTGCATCCCCCGCTGCCATCCACAGCCCGACTGCGGCGGAACCGGCCGGCCACCGCTCGCCCCAGCGAGTCTTGGGATGCGGCGCCACAGTCCCTGCGCCAACGTCTCCCCGGGACCTGACTTCCCCCTCCAGAATCAAACCTGTCCCGAGCTGGTCAGCCCCCAGATCCATTCCGAGCCCTTCGTCCTACCAGCCGGGCCTCCCCTCCTAATCTGGACCCCTTAGGCCCAACCCCACCCCTGCGGCGTCCTGCTGGCGCCCACCTGTGAGGAGGCTGAAGGAGCGGGCAGAGCCTGGTCAGCAGCGAGTGGGCCAGGCCGCTCCCGGGCTGGGTTATAAGGCAGCTCCTGCCCTCCCCCCAGCCAATGTCCCCAACCTTCTCCGGTGACCCCTGCCCTTTCCTTGCCATGGATCCCCTGGCAGGGTCCTATATTTAGGGAAACCTGAAGCCCCTGACATTCAGGCCAGCGTGAGGCCTAAAGTGAGAGAAGGGGAAGGAAGCCAGTGGGCCTGCCCTAGTTGGGGGGCAGGGGGAGGGCCCTGCCCACTCACGGGTACTTCTGAGGAAATCTCTTCCTTGGAAATCCAGCCTGAGGCCCTCAAAGGTTGTCAGGAGAAATCAATCTTTGCCAGGGATCTGTGGGGAGGGAAGGAGAGGAAAGGAGACTCAGATCTGTGGCTCTCTATGCCTCCTTCTCAAACCCACCCCCCTCTGGGCCCTGATGGTGGCTGCTGTGATTCTCAGGAGACCAATCTTTTGGCGGGAGAGCAGATGTGGGCACTACACTCACCTCAAAATAACCAGGAGTCCACGGACAAGGTGTGGCTGTGGTGCCCCTATATCCTGATACTCAAGGCTAAGTTTGTCCCATAATGTGGTTTGTGGTGAGCAGTCTCCTACCCTCGCCTTTGATTATAACAGTGTAGATGGGGAGGAGGAGAGGTGGGCAGGGGCACTTGCCAGACCACTAGCCCCTCTCCCTGGTAACGGGTTGCTGTCCAGCAGGCCAAGGCCTCACTGAGTCCTGCTCTGCAGGGAGCCCGGCTCTCCGCGGCTGGTTCCTGGGCTGATGAGCTGGGCAGGCCATTTGTGGTTCCAGTGGCCTAGAGAAAGGTGTCCAGTGGCCCCTCAGGGAAGGGAACATGTAGGCCCAGGAGGTTGGCCGCTCCCCGAAGGGCAAGGATTCCGGGTCCTCATCGGAGCTTGATCTCAAAGCAGAGACAGTTGAGGCTCTGGCAGTCAGGCAGTTGGCACGCACAGGCACAGTCGCAGAGTGGGCAGCAGCGAGGGCAGCGAGGGGCCCAACCCTGTGGGAGAGGAGGAAGGGGTGAGGGCGGTGGACGGGAGGGAGGGTGACCAGTGCCCTAATGCTGTTTCCCTCTCAGGGGAGAAGGGAACAGAGAGGCCTGGAAAGTCCCATTTGCCCAGTGGAACAGAGGGTACCATCTACCGTTCTTCGGAACAAATCAATTCCCTGTGCTGTTGAAAAATCAGCAAGGAGAGAGTGTTGCAAACTACTGAGTTCAGGCGGTTCTTTCCTTCTTCCTATTTTATAGGCGAGGAGATGGAGGACCAGAGATCAAATAGCCCTGTTCGACTGAGTCCCAATGTTCAGCTCAAAGGTGGTTCTACTATATCCTCGTGGTCTCGTTCAATTCCAAGTTAGGAGACCAGGGAAAGCACACACTTTCTGTCCATGACGAAAATAACTCGGCTTTGTGAATTTCTTCCTTGACATCATGACCAGACTGTAGGATCTCGTTCGTTATTCATTTCTGAGCACCTACTCCGTGCAAGGCACAGATGGTATTTGTGACTGATTTTTTAAAAGCCTCTGTTGTCTTTGAAAATGGTAATGTACAGATTAAAAAAAATTTTTTTTTAGTGTTTCAGAGTCACTTCGCTTTTATTTATCAGAACCTTGCACAGGGGGACTCTTTACAAGAGAGGCAATGGAGGCTTAGGGGGCTACACCTTGACACCACTGCCAGGAATATCAGCGTCTTTCTGGGTCTCCTGGGACGGGGACAGTTCATCTCCTGTCACCACTGACCTAGCACAGGTATGCACACTCAACAGGTATGTGAGATACAAATGAATACTGAACGAGTGGCTAAATCAAATCATTCCCCTCCTTTAGGCAAAGAAGAAAGAGGGCTTCTCAGCTCCCAGGGGGAACAGGAGGGTCTGACGCTTGGGGAATAGGAACAGCATGTCCTTAGTGACAAGAATGGAGAACTGTCCTATTTCTCTCCTCCTGCCCTGTGACAGGATCTGCGACTGCTTCACGCATGGACTGGAGTCAGGCCAAGTGGCTGGAGTGGGACACACCCAGGATGTGACAGGAGATTGGCTCCTTGGGGCCCGAGGCTGAGCTAGTGACAGTCACAGTTGCACAGCTCAATCAGACACCAGGCCAAGTCAGGAATAGGGGAATGACCTTTCAAACAGCTGAGGTTTGGGGGTGCGGTGTCAGGTGACTGGTGAGATCGGATATCAGTAGGGGCTGCAGTGAGGGGAAGGGATCTGCCTGCTGCAGATGGAGGTCTGAACTGGGCTGGTGTGTGCTGCCAGAAGAATTGTCTCTCACGGAGGAGCCTTCAAGTGTCATGGCGGAAGGGAGATTGAAGTGGTTCCCTTGTGTCTGATGCTGGGGTGGTTGGGGGTGTCCCTGGGGAGTCCCGGTCTGGGGATGAAGTGGGCTCTGTGGGTATTTGGAGGACCACACCGTCATTCGCCACACAGGACCGGTGGCTGAGAGCCGCTCCGCTGCCCTCCCCTCAGAGGAGAGGGTATTAAAAGTATTTCTGGGCTCTGTCCACTGGAAGGGTTTAGAGCTAGTCATTTATAACTGTCTAATGGATTTCTCGACTCTCACAGCAGCCATGTGGCTTCTGGAAGGAATCTGCTACTTCAGTACATTAAGCAAGAATGCCACAAGATGGTTAACCCTTGTGTTTCTCTAGGTTCTACAGTTTTCCACTTCGATTTCTTGCACTTTTGATTTTGGGAAGGGCAGCCATCTTTAGAGGTTAGAGCTCAGGCCCAGATTTGAGCCAAATTCAGGCCCAGGTTTGGCTAATTCACGTTTTGAGCCTCAGTTTTCTCATCTCTGAAACAAAACTAATGCCTACTTCGTAGGCCCATGGTGGAGAGTCAGCGGAAAGCACCAAGTACAATGCCTGGTACACAGTGAACACTCAACAACAGGCAGCTATTTGGGTCCCGGCTCTCTCCCCCAGGCTTTTAAGTAGGCCCCACGTCCAGCATGGAGGCAAACACGGGGCTTGAATTCCCAACCCTGAGATCAAGTACTGAGCCGAGGGGTGCCTGGGTGGCTCAGGTGGTTAAGTGCCAACTTCAGGTCAGGTCGTGATTTCACACTTTGTGAATTCGAGCCCCCAGTTGGGCTCTGTGCTGACAGCTTGGAGCCTGGAGCCTGCTTCAGATTTGGTGTTTCTGTCTCTCTCTCAAAAATAAAATAGGGGTGTCTGGGTGGCTCAGTGGTTAAGCATCCAACTTCGGCTCAGGTCATGATCTTGCACTCTGTGAGTTCAAGCCCCATGTCAGGCTCTGTGCTGACAGCTCAGAGCCTGAAGCCTGCTTCGGATTCTGTGTCTCCCTCTGTCTCTGGCCCTCCCCTGCTTACATTCTGTCTCTCTCTTTCTCGAAATTAAATAAACATTTAAAAAATTAAATTAAAAAAAAGAACAGACCTGAGATCAAGAGGCAGAGGCCCAACAGACTGAGCCACCCAGGCACTGCCCTGAACAATAGTTCTTAACCCTGATGTGCCCCAGAATTTAATTAATTAATTAATTAATTAAAAATTCACAAAATCCAGGGTGGCTCAATCAGGTGATCATCTGACTTCGGCTCAGGTCACGATCTCATGGTTAATGTATTCGGGACCCACGTCGGGCTGTCCGTGCTGTCAGCGCAGAGCCCATTTCACATCATCTGTCCCCCTCTCTCCACACCTCCCCCATCCACACTCTCTCAAAAATAAATATTAAAAAACCTTTTTTAAATTCACAAACTCCAATCCCATCCCAGACCTATGAAGTGTGGGGCCTGGAGGCCTGGTTTTCTAAGTCTCATATGTGCTTCTGGTCACACACAGGGCTGAGAACCAACCATTGCGCTGAATTACTTCATTTCTCACGGTCGAGCATAACTGCCTACTTATTCCTCTGTGTCCTTCATGAGAATGGAAGCCCTGTGCGGGTTGGGACCATGTTTTGCTGAGCCTCTAGGGCCTGGCACAGGGCCTCAACAATATGACTCCATAAATCTTTGGTAGGTGAATAAATAAGTGAGTGAATGAATGAATGAATGAATGAGATCCTTGCCACAGGCTTAAGAAAGAAGCAGAACACGCAGGTTTATCCCCCAGAGAGGAAGAGAAACGTGGGTTTGTGTCCTGGCCTAGGCCTCAGGTGAGTCACTCAAGCCTCTGTAAGCCTCAGTCTCTGAGAGCTATAAAGTAGGCAGGAACTTTGTATGGTTGCGGTTGTTACTGTTACTACAAGGAAACCCAAGAACAGATACTTGACTATACTTAGTGCAAACACAGCTCAAGGACACAATGATCCCACCCTGCTCTGTGCCATTCTAGAATCCTTCCTTCCTGGCTCTGGCAGAAGCCGGGTAGATCAGGCCCTGAGGTCTCCGGGTCCAGAATTCCTCACTCCATCCTCACCCTGACCAAGGAGGAAAGGCCCAGACTGATAGCAGGGGCAAAGGGCAGTGCCTCCCAGGAGAGGGGGCCAGAAGTCACTTTGTAATTGACCATTTCCTATAAAATAGGAGTTTTTAGGACCCTGGGTCTTCTTCCTTTTCCTCTTCGCTCCCTTACCCCCAGTCCTGGGCTCCTCTCCCAGCTACCCCTCAGGAACCAAAAGCAGATTATTTTTGAAAGAGGGCCCCTTGCCTCATAATTTATTTCAAAACTCAAAACATCTCCCAGGAATTTAACCAACTATGGTCCCTGCACAAGTTATGAATTTGCCCAGTCTTTTATCTTCCCTCTTTCCTCCTGGGGAAGGTCACCACTTCAAGGGCAAGAGCTTTGCTCTCTAAATCTGGGCCCAAAATAGGAAGGTGGTCAATTACATTTAACACCATTAAACCCACAAAGGCAAAAATGGCCTGTCCTCTGGGAGTAAGACTTCTCCGTGAGGCTTCTGTTTCAACACACATTGAAGCGATTTGCTATGCAAGACTCTGACTCAACTTTCCAGAGCCACCTTCTCCCCCTGCAAGAAGGGGATAAAAATACTTACCAATCTACACACAGGCATAGACAGGGGTCAAGGGGTGGTGTCCAGGTAAAAAGGGCAAGTAGTGGTGGTGATGAAACAGTATGTGTGGTATGGCCCCATCTTTACCAAATGACAGTATAGTACAACAGTGACGGGACTGCACATTAGTATGTGAGGGACACACACAGCATGTAACAACCTTGGTTCGGGAGCTGGTTTATAAGGTGACTGGTACTCTCTCCATATTTCTACATGCACACTTTGTAATCAATGCTTTTCATAGTCAGAACTATATAGGTTTTTAAAAACACCGAGTGCTCTCGGGGTGCTTGGGTAGCTTAGTCATTTAAGCATCCAACTCTTGATCTCAGCTAAGGTCGTGATCTCATGATTCAGGAGATCGAGCCCCACATCAGGCTCCATGCTGACAGTGCAGAGCCTGCTTGGGATTCTCTGTCTCAGTCTCTCTCTGCCCCTCTCCTGCTCCCTCCCTCAAAATAAATAAACATTAAAAAACAAAACAACAACAAAAAAAACAGGGGTGCCGAGGTGGCTCAGTCAGTTAAGCATCCGACTTCGGCTCAGGTCATGATCTCACGGTTTGTGGGTTCGAGCCCCACATCGGACTCTGTGCTGACAGCTCAGAGCCTGGAGCCTGCTTCGGATTCTGTGTCTCTGGTTCGCTCTGCCCCTTACCCACTCGTGCTCTCTCTCTCTCTCTCTCTCAAAAATAAAAACATTTTTAAAAAAATACCCAGCTCTCAGCGTTGTTGACAAAATAATAATGCTCATAAAAGTGGCAGTGTCTGGAAAGTGCTCAGTGAACAGAAGGGGGCTGCGAGAGGGGCTGTTTATTCTTTTTAACTTCCATTTTCAGAAGCCATTGTCTGCCCTGCATGCTACTCACCTCTCTCCAGCTGCCGCCCTATTTTCTTTTCTCAAAGTCGTTTTCAGCACCAGATACACATATGATGTGGTGTTTAGGGTGCCTTTGGCTGTCTCCAACTGAGCCAGAACCCAGAACTGGGCCTGGCCCAGAGGAGGTGCTCAGCAATCAACGTTGTTGACCAACAACGACAAAAGAAGGCCCGGCGCTCACCCAGGCCAGGGCTCAAGGAGCCAGGGAGAGGACAAGAACTCACAGCTTCGGTGGGCTGGGGGCAGCAGGCATCCAGGCAGCGGGCGGGGCTGGGCAGAGGGAAGTCGCAGGCTTCTGCACAGGTCCAGCAACAGTCCTGGGGCCTGGAAGCGCCTTGCTTCCTGCAGGGGGAGCTGCAGTCCGTGCAGCAGCCCTGGGCCTGCGAGAGGGAAGGGCTCGGGATCTGGGCCAGGTGGCGTGTGGGGACAGGAAAGGAGGGAGCGCGAAAGGTATAGAGGCGGGGGCTAACTGGCAAAGGAGCCTCAGAGGAAGGGCCTGCAGATGAGGGCACCGAGCGCCTCCTCTTCCCCAGAGCCCACCCTTCGGCCGCCAGCGGGCCCCTCACCAGCAGGCAGTGCCTCGCCAGCAGCACTACACCGAGCAGCAGCAAATAGATGCTCACGGCGATGAAGACGATGGCAGGGATGGGAAGCAGGAGGGAAGGACTGCTGACGGGAGCCGGGGTTGGATTCCACGAGCTAGAGGAGGCCTGGACAAGCACAGGAGGAAGGGGTGACGAGGAGGTGGGAGTGGCTGCAGGGATGCAAAATACCAGGAGGGACTCCAGAGGTGGCTGGGAAGAGGGGAGGAAGAGCCACCAGATATTGGGGAGAGAGTCATCGGGACTACACTATCCTGTTCCCCAAAGGTGACCGTCCCCTGTTGTCCCCATTTCAGCCCCATCGGTACCTGTTGATCATTCTAGAACTTTCTGAGGTGTGTTGCTCTTCCTCTCAGAATGCCTCTCCATACATATCTACTGTCTCTGATTCCTCTGCACCACCTTACTGTCCCTCAGGCCACATTACTGGCCCCTAACGGTCTTCCAACCTGCAATTCTGCCCCTTTCCACACCAGCTGGGTTGTGTATCTCTCCCTTATAATCCATCAGTGGCTCCCAGTGACTCAGTCCAAACTTATCTCAGTGACAAAGCCCCAGTCTAGCCCTGCCTCCCTCCTCCTCCACACTCCGGCCATACTGAAGTCCCAGCAGCTCCCCAAACCTTATCCTCTCTCCCGCCCCAGACTCTGTCCAAGCTGTTCCCTCAGCCTGGGATGCCTATTTTCTTTGATCACTTGGCAAGCTCCTCAGCTTGCCAGGAAGAGCGGGAATGTGCGCTCCGTGTGAAGTCTATTCCTGGCACTCTCGCACACTCTCCTCCCGAGCTCGAAGAGTCTATGTTGGGTAAAGAGCCCCCTCTCCAGTCTGGGCTCCAGGCAGGCAAAGTCAGGGCGAGTTTAAGGCACTTAGGGGGTCGCTCCGGGAAAGGGTAAGGGGCCTAGGACTCACGTCCATCGGGCAGGACAGCGCCAGTCAGTCCAGGAACTGCAGAGGAGAGAAAAATACTAGGTCTCAGAGGCTCAGAGGAGCCATTGGACTGGGATGCCCAGTCCCCTCCCCCCATTTCTTTTTTGGAGAAACTGAGGCCGAACGATGGCTCCTGGTTGGGACAATGGGCTCAGGGGTTCGGGGGATTCGGGGCGGTGTCCCCCTCGCAGGCCCCAGCCTGGCCCTGGCCACACCCCTGACCGTCCCCACACCCCGGCTCCCTCCCATCGACCGGTCCCCAGCACCTGCACCCTAGGGCCGCGGGCAGTTCACGGATTCCGCGCGCTCGTCCAATCCGCCGAGGCGGCAGCACCGCCCAGAAGCTCCCGCTGCTTCTTGCCGTTGCCATGGGGATCCGAGCGCCGCTCCTACGGCGGCCGCCGAGACCCAAATTCCTTCTCCCAGCCGTCCTTCCCAGGCCAGATCCTCTGCCGTCACCAGCCCTTCTTAGCCGTGGTTGACCAGGTTTTCCCGCTATCACTGAACGGAAACGGCGATTTCCCGCTGCCACCTGACACAGTCGGATCCCCATCTTGTGCGGCGGCCTGCGTCCCCGAAAAGACTGATACCCGGAGCTACACTAGCAGCATGCTGTGTGACGTAGGCCAAGACACTGAGCCTCGCTGAGTCTGTAAAACCGGGAAACTCCTGCCTTAAGGGGATGTTGTAAAAATCAAAGCTGCTTGTCAATTGTATAGCACAATTTTTTTTCCCAACCTAGCCCCACCCACTTATATGGACAGTGTCCTAACTTGAGACTTCAGCGGGTCTCTTCAACCTTCACATCATTGTCAGAGTGATTTCCTCCCACCCACATCATATCTTTTTCCTTTTCGTGGAAGCTGGGTGGCTCAGTTGGTTAAGTGTCAGACTTCAGCTCAGGTCATGATCTCGTGGCTCTGGGTTCCAGCCTCCAGTTAGGCTCTTTGCTGACAGCTTGGAGCCTGTTTCGGGTTCTGTCTTGGTCTCTCGCTCTTTCTCTCTGCTCCTCCCCTGCCTGTGCTTTCACTCTCTCTCTCTCAAATATAAAAATAAACATTAAAAAATAAAAAAGATATTGTCCCCTTTTTAAAGTTTATTTACTTATTTTGAGAGAGAGAGAACGAATGGAGGAGGTCCAGAGAGAGAGGGGATAGAGGATCCCAGGCAGGCTCCTGCGAACAGCAGAGAGCCCAAGGCATGGCTCAAAATCATGAACAGTGAGATCTTGACCTGAATGGAAATCAAGAGTTGGATGCTTAACTGACCAAGCCACCCACGTGCCCCAGACCATGTCCCTTTTCTATTTTAAACCCCCCAGAGGCTCCCCATGGGCTCCAGGATAAAGCCCAAATGCTCAGCTGACATCACCACCCATTCTGGGCCCCTCTTCTCTTCTGTTTGTTCATCCACAACATATCTAGGCTCTGGGACTTCAGCAGAGAATAAAGCTGACAAATTTCCTGCCCCCCACTAGAATTTATTTATTCTGTAAATAAATAAATAAATAAATAAATAGGTAGATAGATAGATAAGATTACTGTTCTGTGTCCCATCATTCTTCCAAGTTTCCACCATAGGATCTGTTCAAGGTTCCTGAACCAGTGTATAGGGTCTCACAGCTCCACACATTTGCAGATACAGTTCCCTCTGCCTAGAACACCCTTCCCTTGTTTCCGTCTGAAGAGCTCCCTCATCCTTCCAGCCTCTGCTCGGTTTTGCCTCAGGGAGTTCTTCCTGCCAACCTCAGCACCATATACGCACGGCTTCCAGCACCATATACGCACGGCTGTTCCAGTACTGACGACAAGGTATTTGAATTCTCCACTTCAGTGGGCTTTGCTCCCCAGTTAGACGGTGAGTGCCTGGGTCTGATTTATCTCCATATCCCAAGCCCGGTAGCTGCTGTGGTCTTGGGGGTCTCCAGCGAGTACTCACTGATTCTATGAATGAATCAAATCCAATGAAATAGATTGTTATCCAGTGAAGTGTTGTTACCCAGATGCCCTACCTCCCTTGGCTCTCAAGCCAATCGGACCTCCCACTTTTCATTCCTGACCTAGTTGGTTCTACACACACATGCTTGCACGCATGCGCACTCACGTAAGCACGCCTCCCCCAGGGAGGCCACAGGTTTCAACCATGATCACTGTGTCTGGGCATGTTCCCCTGAAAGCAGGGCTACCTTATACCTACTTTTGTCCACGGCGTCCACCCTGATGTACCTTGTCACAGCTGCTGCCGCTGGCGCAGCACAGGATAGCCAGGGTCCGTGTCCCCAGTTCCCAAATCTCCCTTCTCACCTTCAACCACACTCATAGAGTCCTGCCCCCCTGACCCCCCCCCCCAACTCTCTCAATGGGAGCTTCGAGCCCAGGAAACAGGAGGCTAGCTGTCCCCAACAGCACACTGCTGATTCTAAGCCAGGGACAGATTGCCTTCTTGGGGGTGTCTTCTTGTCTGCCCCAGCCTCTTTGCAAAATCCCAAGGCCCAAGATGAGGCCAGCTCCCGCTCCAGCTTCAGGTGACACCTACTCCCTCCCTCTGTTCATTTCCTGCCAAGAGAGAGACGTCAGCCTTGGCAAGGCCTCCAGACACGTCCATGGCCCGCAGTGGTCAGACTCACTGCTGATGGTATCCTGTTCCTACGAGGGGCTCATACATTATGCAGGATGGTGGACAGTGTACTGGACCTGATCGCTGCAAGACAAACCGAGAAGATGGGTGACGTATGCACCCCGCTTTGCCAAGGCCACTTTGGCCCTCCCTGTTGGAGGCAGGGAGACTCTGACTTCATAATAGTCAAATAACCATAAGGTCTCCTTCTCCCTAAAGTTCAAAGCTGGAGATGCCAGATACGACTGCGTGGAGTTTTGCACCGCCTCTGGGAAGGAGAGAAAAAGATGACGGACTCTCAGTCATCATGGGGTGGGCGGGAGACCTGAGGCCCACAGAACACCCAGGAGATGAAGGAAACTCGGGCAGCCCTGGGCTTGGGCGTGGGAACAGAACCTGGCAGCTCTGATTTTGATCTCAGACTTTCAGCCCCTCCTATGGGCATCAGACCACACTGCCTCCCAGAGACTAAGGGGATGTTATCAGCTTCCTTCTTAGGAAAATGAAAAGCCTTTGCTCAGGTAGTTACCCTGGGGGAATCAGAAGAATCGTGTCCCGGTTGAAAAAGAATTTTAGGCCTAGAAATTCAATTTAGGTTTGAATTCTAGTTCTGCTACTGTGTGTTTTTGTGACCCTGGGCAAGTCAGTTGACTTCATTGTGCCTCATTGTGCCTCAGTCTTCCTTGTCCAGAAAGTAGGGATCGCTTAAAAGCCTCAGAGGGCTTGTGACAATTGAAGGGAAGGTATGTAGGCTGCCTGGCATAGAACAAGGGCTCATGAGGGGCGCCTGGGTGGCTCGGTCAGTTAGGTCTCCGACCCTTGATTCCGGCTCCAGGTCATGATCTCACAGCTCATGAGTTCAAGCCCCGTATCTGGTTCTGTGCTGACAGTGCAGAGCCTGCTTGGGATTCTCTGTCTCTCTCTCTCTCTGCCCGTCTTTCTCTCTCTCTCCCTCTCTCTCTTTCTCAAAAATAAACATTAAAAAAAGAATTAAAAAAACATATAACCAGACAACTGGGAATGAATATCGCAGTGAGTATTTACAAGGCACCACATAGGAACCGTGCTTTACACACTTGTCGTTCACTAATCCTAGCAGCCCTAGTGAGAGGTACTGCTCCTAGCCCTGTCCTCATCCCAAGAGGAGATAAACTTCTTGCACAACTTCTCCTGGCTAGTGAGTGACAGAACTAGGATTTGAGCCTGGGCAATGGGACTTTGTGTGTATACAACTGAGGCTCAGAGAGGTTCTGACACTTGACCAAGGTCACACAGCCAATCTATGGGGGGGGGGAAGCCTGGCCACACTCTTGGTTTTCTCCCTCCAATTCACCTGTTGTGCCCCCCCCCCCAGGCTTTTTCTATTGCACAGATAAAGGGTGGGACTGGACTTGCTTAGAGCAGTACCCAGCCTGGGACAGGTACAATAAATGCACTAAATAATAAATGCTCTGGCACGCTGGGCGCGACTCTTTCCAGAGCACGGAGAGGCGCGAATTGGACCCTTCCCTGGGTATCATGTGGGAAACGGGCCACTTCTGGCTGCTTATTGTTTACTTATTCACAGCCTTCGGTGATACAACACCTGCACACCTCCCGTAGAGAAGATGCACACGGCAAAGCATTTGGATGCGGGAGCCTGAAGTTGCAGGAAACGGTAAACCCCAGGCCCCGGATGCATTGTGTGACAGATGTGTGAGGACCGCGTGGGGGAGGAGGGAGAGACTTACCTGAGGAACCAGGCTGGGCCGGGAGAGCGGGTCCCACAAGAGCGTGGCACCGGGGAGCGCCACCCACGCGGCCCCCTCTCCGCAGGCGCTGTCAGAGGTGTGTGTGCAGGGGCCACACCCCTGCGCAGAGCTGGCTTGGCGCTCTCCTCCTGCGGGGATGTTCAGGCACTCCTTGAACCCCAGGCGAAGGACCACGGTGTGTGGAAGGCGTCCCATCTTGGGTTTATTTTACATGCTACAGCCCTCTGCAAGAGCGCGCGAGCTATTCTCTTTCCAACTCCTTTTCAACGCTTCTGATTATTCCAGGAGCAAGTCTCATTTTGCTGCCAGAAGCCCTTTAACACCTCTCTATCCGTGCTTATCTTATCGTTTCTTGTCTGTAACAGAGAGAGGGCAGGCCTCCAGCTCAGAATTCAGAGCAGGTGAAAATATTGACCTAGAAGGTTAGAACAGGTGTTTTTCATTGTATTTATTTTTGTTACCTTCTATTTACAAGTGATACTGGTTTTCTATTTTCGGTAGTGATAAAAAGTTTCCTTTTAAAGTACTTGGTGGTTAAAAGCCGGTACTCCAGAAATTAGACTAACTAGGTTCAAATCCCCGCTGTGCCACTTAACTGCCTGGGTGACCTTGAGCAAGTCCTGCAACCTCTCTGTGCCTCAACTCCCTCCTCTGTAAAGGGAAGTAATGATGACATCTCCTCCTTATGTTATTGTGAGGATTACATTCTTTAGTGTATGTTAAGGGCATAGACTGGTACCTGATATGCAGCATACAGGCTGTATATATGTTTACTATTATTAGGTCAAATAGGGCAAACACAAACAAACAGACAAACCAACAAACCCCGAGGTTTAGAGGAAATTGCTTTGCACCAATCCTAGCATTTCCCATGTGAGGAAGCAAAGTTTTGGAGAAGCTAATTAAGTGGCTAAGCTAGGATCTCTGTAGGTCTCTGGATTCTTGATCCATTTACCAGCCATTTCAATCTTCAATAATTAATATAACTTCTCATGGTATTCAGCTGTGGAATGAGACTAATACTATTTCATTGATGTTGAGGTGGTGTGTGTAAAGGTGGCTCAGAACACGAGCTGGTATGATGGCCCCTAATGCATTTCAACGGGGGTAATATCGCCCCCAAGGGGAGAGCAATAGGTTCTGGAGGGCAAAAAAAATCTTAACTCATTTTTTTAAGGGATTTTATTTTTAAGTAATCTCTACACCCAACATGGGGCTTGAACTTACAACCCCCAGATCAGGAGTTGCACGCTCCACCGACAGGACCAGCCAGGTGCCCTCTTAACTCTTTTTAATATACTAAGCACAGATATACAGTATATCTGCAGTTTCAAAATTTCATGATGGGTGATGATTAGGAAGCAAAATGTCTTTAAAAAGGCTGCTTAGATGAGAAGAATGGAGAAAAAAGTTGAGACACACCAAATTCTTCCAACATGAATTGTTACCCACCAGTGGGCTATGCAATCACTGGGTCATGATCAGATGGTGGTGAGAATGGACGATAATTAGGCCTCTAG